ACACACACACACACACACACACAGGCACACACACACACACACACACACACACACACACACACACACACACACACACACACAGGCACACATATAGAAAACTGGAGAAAAGACTCCAAGATTATTAAACACACACTTGTACTCATATCTTTGTGGGGACTGTCCGTTCACTTTTATGAGGAAGAACTCTAATCCCATCAATGAAACCCTTAAGGTTAGGGCTGGGTAGGGGTTAACCATAAGTAACCAAACTAAATATGAGACTTTTGGCATTTCAAGTTATTTTTTTTCTTGTCACAGATTTTTATAAAATTGAGTTTCCCCTTGTTTGGACCGAAAATCTCAACACAAAGTAAAAATAAGTTATCACATTGTGGAGACATTGCAATATATGCATAACCCCCACCACCACCACCACCACCACCACCACACACACACACACACACACATAAAATTTCAATTTCTGTACTACAATCTTCTAATTATTCAGAAATAATTATGCATTATCAGCTCAAACACATTTGATGTGTTTAAGTAAAATATACTTTAGCTCTACACATTTACATTATTTCCTAGTTCACTGCTTACCGTTAACAAAAGGAAAATATCTCTTCCTCATTGAAACACTAAGTTCCATCCATCCATCCATCCATTTTCTGTATCCGCTTGTCCTATCAGGGTCGCAGGAACCTGGAGCCTATCCCACAGGACAGGGAATAACCCAGGATGGGGCACCAACCCATCACAGGGCTGTGATGTGAGTTTTCTGCTAAAACTATTAGTCTGAAAGACATTCTCAGTGAAAGATATACCAGTTAAAACCATATTTCATGCATTCCTGCTTTTTCACTCAGATTCTTCCCTCGAGTGAGAGCAGGGAAGCTGCTTGAATGAAGTATTACATAACACTGAATCAGCCATAACATATGTAGCCATTTCAGAGAGGAAGCAGTGATTGGACAGGATCTGTACCCCAGAACACACATTAAAGTAGCCTGAAAGAATAAGTGCTCCTTTAATTCAAAACAGCCAAACCATTAACCAAAATCAAATACTCGAAAATAAGTTCCAGCAGTAACAACAACGCCTAATTTGCAAAAGTTCATTCTGTTCCCCTTGTTTCCTGCTTACTCCTGTTCTCTGTTTTAAGTCCTGTTGTGTCTCATATTGTTAACAGACTCTAACGAAGTGAACAAAGCCAGCTGGGCGTCATTAGCTAGGCTTGCAGCCGACGTCTCCTTGCTGAACAGCTACGGATCCTGCCTTGGATCTACATCACTCGGGTTCAGATGTGGGAAAAATATTTACGATATTTCAAAGTTATCTAACAATTCTTAGTATTCTGAGACATATTTTGTATCTATTTGTATATATGTGTTATAGGACAGCCTGATTTTATTTATATCTGTGTACAAAACATTACAGATAAAGAAATATGTATTTGTTATAATAGTACTTGGGGAAGGTGATCAAATAAAGATTCAGAATGTCACTAAAAAGCACAAATAAGTACATTTACATAGATTCCTGTTCTCTCCAGCTAGAAAGAAAGCTCTTTCTGAATGATCTTCACAATAAGACCTACCTGGGCAGCCAGTATCATAAAGCGTACTGATCTGCAGGGGAAAGAGTGCTGTATTCCCTGTATAACTGTAGTATACAGATAATCAGTAGTCATCTTATAATATGAATATAATTACCTCTGGAGGTGTGGTCATGCACAATGGCATGCATGGAATTGTCTGCTGTTAATCGTTACTGGGGCCATATATCAATAGTCTCTGGAAGGCAGGGTGAAATTGGAAATGAGTGTAAAATTGCATTGACTTTCCTCTTCACCTATAACTTACCGTGAACAAATAAGACCAACACCAGTTAGTATAGCCAGTTAGTGTAACTCAATGACGACTAATATCATAAGCAGTAGTAGGTTGGATAACGCAAATGAAAACTGAAATTGCACCATAATTCTGGCCTAAATGTCAGCAAACCATTAGCTTGGTCTATTTTCACCCTATACCACAGTCTATAATGTACTATTGTTTTTTCAAAATTGCCATTACACAGTTACAATATTGGACAAAAATTTTATTTTCATGAAAAGAATTCTAACCTAGGGAAAAAAACACAACGCAACCTCTGCCATATCATTGTCAAATAAGAAAACACAATACAGTGTATATAAATTCAGTCAATCTGAAATGGCCTAAAATGGGCCAGGAATATACAGTATGTGTATTAAAGATTATTACAATTCTATCTAGATAATAGCTACGGCGCTGCTTGTCTTTTTGTTCTTTAAGCTGTTTGCTCTTCTTCGAAAGCAATGCATGCGAGCATGTTCTATAGCTACTGCTTTTTACAGCTACTAGTTGTTAGAAAATTCTCATCTAAGAAACTACTGCAGGTATCTGGGCCTGCCCTTCCAAGTTTTCATTAGATTAAGGCCTAAACTTTGACACAGCCAGTCCAAAAAAATAAATAAATAAATTTCTCTTCATTCTTTGATGAGCTTTCTGGAATACTTTGGGTTGTCAGCTTGCCGCAGTACCAATATCCTGCACAAGTGATGACCATCTGATCTGCAGTGAGACGTTTTGTTTTGACTGTAAGTTCGGTGTTCTTTCAGTGATTGTGTCATATGCTCAGGTCTGGCCAAGACAGCTGGGGTAAGGTTTAAACTAGTGGGTTTTTCTTTTTTTGTGGGTACAGCAGTATTTTGCTTAAACAAGAGAACATTTGCAAACTAAGTAACACAAACATATTTTTGAGTGCAAGGCCATTACTATTCAGCTTGGACTGTAATGAACATGAGCTGCAGAGAGAGACGTCTGCAGACACTTGGATGTGAGCCTGGAGTTCTTCTGGACAACCCGTATGACTTTTCTTATTCTCTTAGGCATAAAATTTTGAAAGCATTCCACACCTTGGTAGAATCACTGAAGTTGTAAATATTCTCCTTTTTGCAGATTTATCTTTTCAGTGAATTGATGAGAGCCAGTTACAAGATTAATGTATGCACGGGAATAGCACAATGTTACGTTTTAAACGCTATTTTAAATTATTTTTATTACCACAGAACCCTCTCATTCCAACTCATTCATTCAAAGATCCAGTTATACTCAAACTCAGTTATGTGACAGCACTGGGTTCAGCCATTCGGGGAATGAAGTTAAGCTGAAAGTATTCCATGCAGGTGCGTAGGCTCGGACACGTCGTGATTCGTCATAATTAGTCTCAGCTCTAAACACACAAATATGGCTGTTAATAATAATAAGAAGAAGAATAGGAAGAAGAAAGTAAACAGAGGAAAACAACAAAACATGTTATGGATAGGGAAGTTCATAGCCTTGTTCTGGGACGCACGCTAGGGAAAAAAACACAACGCAACCTCTGCCATATCATTAAATTCAAAAGGTGGTCCATAGTTCAACAGATGGAATAATAAAAGCAACGATGAGCCGAATTTTGGATGTAGCTTTGAATGTCTGCAATAGGACGCCAAACTGCATGATGACAGCCATGCTGTCAAGTATTCGGGATACGGCCTGTATCTGAACATGTAAACAACTGTAAACAGACGATATCATTTCGCAATCATATAAACTATACGGAAATTAGAAACTTTATGGAATATTAATATCACGTGACATTTTAATAAGGAATGATTATGCCGTCCAAAAAAAAAGCATTTCGAGTGGACACTCCTGATTTATGGCTAACACAGGCCTATAGCGTGTATTGCTAAGTTAATACTGGTTTTCCACGGTATTTTAAGTTTAATAATGACTATAGCGAGTCTAATTTGTTTCGTTTTTAAAATTTGTGATCTGGCAGTTTCAATACTCAACACAGCCTCATTTAATAATGACTCGAACCACCGCCCTCTGACTTTCGTTTCGTATTTATTTATTTATTCTCTTTTGATTCATTTTTAGACGGAAAACCACTGCAATGAGAAAAACAAACTGACAGGCTAAATACCGTCCTTGTCGAAATAGCTTTTCGAAACTTTCCTGAAGTCAGTGTCTACTGATTTTCATGCTTGCAGTCCAAAAATATTATTTAAGGAAAGTATAATACTTACAATAAAGAAATCTTTTATAAATACTGAGGTAGGTAGTATTATTAGCTTCGCTCCGATTATGGATAGTGAGACTTAAAAAAAAAAATTTCAAATAATAAAATGCCGTTATTTTAATCCAGAAGCGCTAACGTTCATTACAAACACTAGAGAGTGCTAAAACCTAAAAAAAATTAGTTTCCCAAACCAGGTATCCTTATTTCCCAGCGAAGCCAAAATACGGGGCCGTCAACCACCGCGTCATGTCGCTTTGAAAAAGTAATATATCTTAATTACAGCATATTTCCTCAGATGACGCCACAGAGCGCCGTTTAAGTACAAATCGAATACTATTCCTGAGTGTCATTCAATTCCAGTGTAAAAGAGTTAATTGTAATGTTTTAAAATAAGTCATTTTACAAATACAGAGTACCACACGAATTCTATTGCATGTTTTGTTAAAGATAGGTGTACAACGTAACACCGCATAAATAAAATCCCTCAGGCAGTGTTCTGGGAGTATGGGATACGGGGTATGGGGACTGCTGTTGCAGGCCATCAGGCCACTGGATGAAGAGGTCCCTGCAGCTGAGTGCGAGGCGGCCGGGATGAAGATCAGCACCTTCAAGGCTGAGGCCATGGTTCTCAACCAGAAATGGATGCATTGCCGTCTTCTGGTGGGGGATGAGTTGCCGCCTCAAGCGAAGGAGTTGAAGTATCTCGGGGTTTTGTTCACGAGTGAGGGAAGGAGGGAGCGGGAGATCGACAGGCGGACCGGTGCAGCGTTGGCAGAAATGCTGTACGGTTCTTCTGTGGTAAAGAGGGAGCAGACCCTGAAAGCAAAGCTCTGGATTTACCGATTGATCTTCGTTCCTACCCTCACCTATGCTCTGGGTAGTGACCGAAAGAATGAGATCACAGAAAAAAGAGGCAGAAATGAGTTTCCTTCGCAGGTGTCTGGGCTCAGCCTTAGAGATGGGGTGAGGAGCTCGGACAATCGGAAGGGGCTCAAAGTAAAGCCGCTGCTCCTCCGCATCAAAAGGAGCCAGTTGAGGTGGTTCGGGCATCTGTCTAGGATGCCTCCTGGACGGCTCCCTGGGGAGGTGTTTCAGGCATGTCCAACCAGGAGGAGACCCCAGGGCAGACCCAGGACACATTGGCTGGCCGAGGAACGCCTTGGCATTCCCCCAGAAGAGCTGGAGGAGGTGGCTGGTGAGAGGGAGGTCTGGGCATCCCCGCTTAGACTGCAGCCCCCCCAAAACCCGGTAATGCCAAATGGTAAATGGATGGATGAATAACATGGGGGAATGTTGGAGATACTTGTGATTAGTTACTGAATCCATCCATCCATCCAATACAAGGTTGCAGTATATTACTGAATCTGTGGCAGGAGTAATGTTATTCACCAGTGCTGTGGGAATTGACTGGGCTTCTTCTCTTGTAATGAGCCTGACTCATTACAGTGAGGTACCCCAACGGAGCTCTGAGCCGGGGAACAGTCCCTCAGGAGTCCAGCAGGAAAGGAGTGAAGCGGTGGTGAGTACCAGTGACAGCTGGGCAGGAGGCACGAGAGCTGGGTAAGGCCAAGCTGACCAGCTCCCAGGGCTGAGAGGCTCTGAACCCCTGAACATTCACCCAACATGCACCACAGGCCTGGTGGCTGAGATGTTTGTAGAGCTGCTCTGGGTCATTCAGCAGCTCATGCTGATGGAATGGAGAGCTCTATCGAGTATGTGTGTGGGTGGCTCTCAGTAGCAATAGAAGTGGGGCTTTAGAGAACATAAACAAGGGTTCATGTGCTTGCCACACTATGAACATTCAGCACCATTAGTTGCTGATGTGCCAGTGTAGAGAAACGATCCGTGGTTGCGTGTTCTGGTCAGCATGTTAAGCATCAGATCACTGGTAATTCACCAGCTCCGCATCTCAAAGTTATCAGTGTCAGTAGTGAGTGTGCATGGGTCGTACCAAAACGAAGGCACATATCAAGGTTATCAGTGTCAGTAGTGAGTGTGCATGGGTCGTACCAAAACGAAGGCACAAAAGGAAATGAAGGAAGAAGAGGGTATGGACAAAAAATACAGATGCCCACTTCTGGCTTTTATGTATAAAAATTAGAATGACGCGCCTGCTGGCTGTTTCACTTCGTAGGGTTAGTTGAAGTTTCATATTTAATCTCTGTTTAAGCTCCATTTAATCTGAAGTTGGGTTCATTTTTTTTCTCTTGACATCAGAAGTTGCATTCCAATAGAGCCAGTGTTTACTTTGCATACGTTTGTTAAAACTGTTAAAGAAAACTAGAAACTTATTGGAGTTTATGCTGGTTATTGTTAACTTTTGTACCACATAATAGCCAAAGTGAATTCCATTAAGCTGCTCATATTCAAATAATTACCATTAACCCTCCTGGCTTCATGTTAGCTCCATACCCAACATCTTGGAAAATCACACCCTCACTGTCATAGTAAGTATAAGCAAATGGATATATAAAATAATTCATGACCCTCCTACACCTCAACGAAACGTCTACATTGTAACCTCTCTGTTGGTCCTTAATAAAACTGAATGAGATTCAAAACTGAGAGTCCGTCCTTTTGAGTGTGATTTTTAAATAACAGGGATTTCCCCCCATCACCCTAAACATCATATGTGGTTAGAAGGGCAGGGGGGCGGGCGCAGCATGTTTTAAATAATACACGGTAATTCTGCCAATGTACATTTTAAATACTTAAAATGGTGGACAGACCAAACTGTTTTTTGTATTGTACCAAAGGGGGAAAAAAAACGGAATGAGAGACGACTGGGTACATTCTCCTGCTGGACTGAATGGATTGGGAGGGGCTCATCAGTAGCTGCTTCCATATTCACCCTCGGTCACTCAGGACAGATGGCATTCCTTTGCGATTCTCATTTTCCAGTGTGAATTCGGCCATAGTTCTCAAAATGCATTTCTTATGCACGAGGGATATAACACCCTATATTATCTGCTATGCTTGAACTCTCACAACAATAGGATACCGCACCTAATCTACTGGATACATTGACACTTATGCTTTTGTATTAAGTGATCACAGGCAGAGAAAAACAAAAAGGCTCTGTAGTATTTAAAAATTAATGGATCAGATTACTACCCAATAAGAATAACTGTAACACACCACAGCGATTTTTAGATTAAGTGACCTATGTCTGTCTGACAAACTCAAATAATGAAACGTAGAAAAAAACAAAAAAAAAAACAGGCTGAGCAAACTAACACAATAGCCAATTGAGTCACATATTTTATTATTCATCTTAAAATATTTTTGTCCAGTCCAAAAAAGGAACAGAACAAGATGAAATGAAACAGGACCGGCTGTCTTCCTCCAGCGGCCAGTGGTCTGAAGAACAGAATCGTCTAAATCCCAGCGTCCTGGCTAGTTCCCAGGAAACAGCATCCGAATGATTGAGAGCTCCAGCTTCCACAAGCTCTCCTGCCGCACAGGCGCACCACCGCAGCCGCAGAATTATACATCAACACCCCAAGAGGACCAGCTTAGGACCCACGGAAGCAGACAGACACCCAGGACGCATTCGCAGTCGACCTCAAGCGTACAGCGCTCCAAATGAGAGAACAAAGGAAAGACAAGGATCCTGCAGGTGCACTGAACATGGCTGACATAATGATAGTCAGATACATTAACAGTCAGCTGTATTTAAAACCAAAGAGGAGCAGTATTCTATGTTGCTAAGTTAAGAATATTGAAATCCAGGCTTTTCTTCCCCATTTATTACAGCCTGTTTTATGCTTTTATTTTTCTATTAAAAAAAGTCTATATACTGAGACAACTCACAACAAATCACAAGTAGAAAGCCCCATTACTAGAAAATGTTGTATAGTCAGATTCTGTTTACATAGAATACAGACATTACAGGATGTTTGTATGGAAAAAATTTATGTTTGCGTTTCACTGGAATTCTAGAAAAGTTTCAGCTGTCCCAGTTGCCTTGCTTGAGTGAGGGGAATCTTTATTGTTGGCGTTCAGACATCAAAAGCAACAATACCCTTTCAAACAGTCAAACGGTAATGGCTCAGTAACCTTCAGTTATTCCCTGAACGCTTGCTCTGACGCAGGCATTTAGTTAAGTAGAAACATCTGGCACGCTGCCCATTCATGAACTACCCAGTTGTAAAGTCATAAATAGAAAGGAGGTGATGGGGGGGGGGGGATTATTAGCTTGGTTACTACCCGTTCTAAAAGCAGGACCGTCAAAATATAGATACCTTAGATAGCGTGGCATAGCCTTCAGGAACAGGGAGTCATCGAGCACGTCACTGACTTCAGCAGTTGTGGAAAACTCGCGCAACAGAAGAGATGGACAGAGACATGGAAAGAGTGATCCAAGAGTTTTCTGCAAGTCCCACACGTCCAACACAGCGGCCCTTTGTGTCTTCGAGATAGGAATGTCGTGAAGCTCGTCTCCACCCAGACACCCAGTATTGTTTCTAACTCTAATAAGATTTGATGTCTCAGTACAAAAAAAAACAAAAAAAAACATAAAATCTTTCAGTCAATGGACACTAGTGTCTGTTTATTAAGATTCCTGAGCCCGGAAATACAGAAGTTGATATACTGGCTCAAACACCTGACTGGAGCTATGCAAACCACACTAAAATAATCAGACCAAGTTTCATATCACCTATTTCTTTAACCTGTTTGTGAAAAATGCAGAAATAACCAATGCCATAGGCCTCAATATTGTCTTTTTAGCTGCCTTCTGGCCTGCCTGAGGTGGACAGCACCGCGAAGGCAGAGAGTGCGTGCGCAGGGGGCGTGGCCATTCCCGGCGGCTGGGGCACAGCCCTGACTCTAATGCACCAGCTCTCACATCAGCATCGCCATGGAGGGGGGGAGGGAGGGGGGATAAAATCTACTCACACAGCAAGAGACGACACCCACTCCAGTCCCACCCCGCCCGCAGTAGGGGAGTAACGTAAGGATACACAAGTATCACAATGTTACTCGCTGAGTACCAGCAGCAGCAGGAATTACATCGTGCCATTCTTTAGTACTTAATTTTAATGTTTTGCGTTTATGAATTTCCCATAAGGCAGTTTGGCATTTTGCAGAGAGCCCAATTACTCCTCTCTACCTCCTTCATAGATCCAGCAGCTTAAAAAAAAAAACCCACAAAATAACAAACCAATCGACCTTTACGAAACCAGACAGCCCTCCTCGTATGTAGAAGTCTTGTGAAGTGTAAAACACCATGTAGTTTTTAATATGTTGTAGAATCATCTCTCCATAAGATTTTATTCTTATAATTTCCCACTTTGATAATACAAATGTATAGATTCATATTCCATTCTGTCTCTTCGAATCCAGCTCCTGAGAAGAGGCCTGAGTCAGCATCACTGCACTGCCAGCAGCCAAACATATCGAGCTGGTTTGTGGTAATTCGGAATTAGCAGTGTTTTTTGTGATGGATTATTTAAAACTATGAACATTGGAAAAGATTCCATGAATAGAACAGTATCATCAGGGATACTGAATTTTATCTAGTCCTCATAGAAAAAGAAAAAAATTAAACCTCTGGTTTTTCTTCCTCCACTCCTTTTTCCACGCGTTAAATTCGGCTTTATAAACGTGTCGTTCAGCTGGACTCTGTGCTGCCTCCTCGTCTGGCAGCATCTTCACGTCCAGCTCATGGCATCTTTAAGACACTCTGCTCTTCAGCTTGTTCACAGTAATCATAAACCAACTCAGTTGCCTTTTCCCTCTTCTGTTGTAAATGACCAAAATGCATCTGGTGTGACATTTCTGCCACTGATGGTCTGGCTGATAAACTCATGCAGGGGGTGTGCACAGTCACAGAAAGTATGATAAGACTTTTTTTTCCCATTTAACAGAATGATGACAAGAGAACTTGATATGCAACATATCCGAAAAAAAAGGGAGGGATAGGACTTCAGTTGGGTAGGTAGACTTCAGTGTGGAAGCAGGACCACAGGACAGGGCGCTCAAAGCTTTTCTGGGGAGGGAATCCAGATATAGGGGCCTGACTGTTCCTCAATGATCATCTTGATTTTGCTGTAGATTTCCTCTAGTGAGTCACCCTGTACAATAGCTAAAAAGAGCAGAGAGGGAGTTGTTAAATTCACTTTATTGCTGAAGTTAATCACTTTCTCCTCTTCCCCTATTGAAAATTATGGATACATCAAAAAAAAAAAGATGCATCTTCTCTCTCAAGCCATCAGACACTCTCTCTGAATAGCAAAGGTAACCATCACCCTAAGTGAGCGAGAAATGCGATAGTTGACTCACTGCTTTAGCTACTGCATTTTCTTATACTTTGATGCATCATACTGCATGTCTACCACAAATCAAGTAAATTAGGGGTGTCCAGTGAATAGACTGCATAATATTAATTGCAATTCTTTTTAAGAAACGTCAGAAGTATTTGTGGCCAAAATTTGAATTATAACCAGAATTACTAGAGTGAATTATTTCCGTTTACTTATACATCTATTTCCAGTAAGATTCTTTGGCATGTAAAATTCAATCTGATGCGTATTTAGACCTAATAATTATATTACGTAATATATGGAATATTGCGGCTCCTACATAGCTACTCAGGCAGATTAAGAGCTTACCTGTGAAATACTCGCCAAATTCCTGCTCCAGTTTCATAGCCTTGTCGAAGACTTTATTGGCCTGTTCATACGTCTGCCTCTTATTCATCTCCCTGCGGGAAGACAGACAGGCCATGACGCGCACTAATTATATGATCAGGGTAAGATTTTTAACAGAGACAGATAAAACAAAAGAAGCTGTATACAATAAGTACAACTGAACAGATTCACATTCAAGGGATCCTGAAACGAGCAGAGGAGGACTGCCATACAAGTGCTATGGAAAGCAGTTATTCATTTGCATGGCAATTATACACAGCCACTCATTATTTAGTGACTAGCATGATTAGTGACCATTCGCAGATATGTAAATTTGTTCCACAAAGCAGGATCTCAGTTAGCTGGGTTAACTTAAGCCAAAATCATGATCGCCCAATGAGAGTTTAGGTAAGGGGCATTCCTATTGGAAGTCCTTTCAGCACAAGTTAACCCAGCTAACTGAGATATCCTGCTTTGTGGACTACCCCCCCCAGGTCGCTGGAACATAACAGAGGAGTGGTTGTATATGCATTACTCTCAGAGGCCGCTGTATTTGGGCCATCTAGCTGATACCAGGCAGGACCTACTTTGGCCTCCAGAACCACTTCGGGAGTTTACTAGTTGTGCACCCAGAAGCCTTTCTACACCCCACCGTTGCATGGAGCCGTTACGCTTTGCCATTACCTTTAACGAGTCTGGCCAATCTCCTGCAAACTAGCTGTTTTTGGCAACAGAACTGCCAGAGTTGATGTTTGTCCGTCACACCGTTCTCTTAACACTGTAGTGTCAATCCAAAATGGCAGCCGTTTCTGGGATGTTGGAAACCCCAAGTCTGGCACCACTGATTCTATCAGGTTAAAAACCGCTTATCATACATCTTAGCTGCGCTAATGCTTGGCCAAACAGTAACTGAACCTGCTGGCCCAGTTTCTGGGCTCTTTCTATTCAGTTGCAGCCACGTGATGTTGTTGTTAGAGGAGCAGGGCGTTTATGTTAACAAGCAGGTACCTAATGCAGCAGCCGCTCAGTCTACATTCTGTCTCAAGTTTGTTGATTTTTATTCATCATTATAAAAAGGTTCATATGAAGATCCAAATATTCAAACCACACAAGATCTATATTAAAAAATCCCAAAGTCAGGATTAAAACATTTTCCTGTATAAAGACAAAACCGATTTAAAGGTAAGAATTCTTCCATTCATAGTAGACATTCGGCCCAGAACTCACATAAGAGCCTCAATGGATTTTGGTTTGATGAAAATGGCGATAGGATAAAGTTGTGCTTGTTGCAATCGCTTAATGGCGTTCCCAGACACATCCAGGATACAGTGTTTCCCCTAAAAAAATATGGAAGCAGACAGACAAGATAAAACAATCAGATCAGACAAGACTTTCAGTCCGTGTGGAAAACATTTATTATGAACAGTATACCTGTGTTTTGTGGGAAGACGGCCTGCAAACTTAATAGATGCATGGTGGTTGGTTACAACTTACATTTATTTGTCCAAAGGGACGTACAGATGAGGATCAGAATGTATCTTTGGAGTAGCTAAGGCTTTGGAGTAGCTAAGGCTAAGGGCCTGGATGAAGGACTCC